AAGGGAATCAGTTCTTAATAATTAACCCAAGTAGATTGTCTTATTAGAAGCTGCTTCTTGTTTCAGATCTATCAAATCTTTCAAGCGTCAATCTAGATGGGTGGAAAGTTAGCATTAATGCAAAGCAGCAGCTGTATTTTAATGAACTGTTAAGAGGAAAGTACTAGAAAAGCAATTCTGGACAATCAGCCTTCAACATCTCCAGTCCTCTGCCAGGCACAGTGTCATTAGTGATTAGACTTTGGTCAGTTTTTCCACTCATCTGAAAGTTTTAAATAAATAATTAACAGTAACAGCAGTCTGTCCTGTTGAAATCTCAGGTTTTCAGCAGTTGAAGCAAACTGCAGTGAAGTTATAGACTGGGAAGTAGAGTGGGTGGCTTTGTCCTTCTCCTCCAGGCTGTCCATTCAACAGCCATCCTGCTTATTGTAAAGGACAAAAAGCAGCGGTGACTGGTTATCACCCCGGGCTGAGCGTGTGGCGTGTCTAACACCGCAACTTTTGTCCCCCCCCTCATCAAGACACATATGTGAATTAGATGTGACGGGTGCATAATTGCTGTGGTGACATCACATCCCCCCATTGATAAAGCTGATGGTAGAAAAGATAGCTGTCAGCATGGAACAAAGCTTGTTTTAGTTGCAGTTTCCCTCGGTGGCTTGTTGTCACGGCTGCAGCGGCTCTTATTACTTGCATGGCTGCCCTCCATCTCTGCCACTCTGCTGAGGTGGGATTGGCTCGGTGCTGGTCTGTGTACGGAGGAAGGGGGGAGCTCTGGGTGGGATGGGTATCCTGGAAATGAAAGGATGGATTGATCAGGAGACGGTCTTTGCTTTTCCTCGGCTTCCTCTGTTCATTGTGGCTCAGAGACTGGGGCCCATTGAGTCAACTTTCTACATTTTAGCCATGAAGAAGTGCTCTCAGTAAAAGGAAGCCAGCCTGGTTTTGTTACTGAGTTCCACTTATTGTTGATACATAATACATTCTGCAGAAGCTTGTTTCAGAAAACAAAGATGTCTTTTAGTGTTGTACTCTGTAACTAAAAGGTTATGTTTAATTTTGTACCTTCTTTGACCCTTAGAAATGGGCCTCTATTCTCTCTTTGGAACAAATCTGCACACAGTGCCTTGATATCAAACACATAGGTCTCGGTTTAATCCATTCACTGAGAAGCCCTCGCATACAACCTGGCCCCTTCACGAAAAATGATTTATTCACAAGATCTAAATATTGGCTCTGCCATGAAGTGGCAACAAGTACCATCAAGTGTTGATAATGGGTCCTGTATGTCACAGTGGAGGAGTTTTACAAACTCATCTCAGAAAATAGGAGTGGAAAGTCATCTTTAAGGTCATCATCATTTGGTTTTACGTGCAGGCTTTGATAAGGCCGCTCCAAGATGCTTAGAGGCAGCCTGACCCTACAGCACAACGCCAGTTCACTTCAGTATAAGGTCCTAACTGAACGCCAGACTTTCTCCATCAGAATTTCCTGCTAGAAAGCAGGTTTGTATTTCCAGAAAACCGCCGAGGTCCGGTAGCAGAAAAGCAACACCAGATCATCACACCAGTTGTTATTAAAAGCACAGATTAAAAAAAAAAAAGTCCCTTTATCTGACCAGTCCATAGAATGGTTTCCCAAGAGTCTGTTGGTTCTTTTAAGTTTTTTTTTTTTTAGTTTAATTCTCTACTTAGAATAGAATACAATTCAACTTTATTGTCATTACGCTGTTACAAGTACAAAGCAACAAAATGTAGTTTGCATCTATCCAGAAGCTAAACAGGATGTAAATATTTATTTTACATGTCAGATTATGTAACTGTTGACTTTAAATGGTATATATAAGCAAATAGTAATTGTAAGAGGCCATAAAATAAATTAATAAATAAGAAAACGGTATACAGATTATACAGGAAAATTAGGATATAGATTATATGTGTGT